ACCATAACCAACCAAATGTTCGCACATCCTAACCATACACACCAGTCCCGTGTTGCGTCGATCCGATCACAGCGAGCCTCGCGGTGTCCTGGGCCGAGGCTGTGTCGGTCTTATGGCAGATGGGGGATGATTCTTCGGATGTAATTAATAAACTGGCATTTATGGTTATCCGATCAGCTTTCGAACTGGAACTTGCGTCGAGGCGTTGCAAACGATGCTTTGGAAATTATTGTTGGTTCGAGATATTTTTATTGTTTTTGTACTTTTTGGAATGAGAATGTGCTGCAGCGTTTAGGCAATTTAACGTGAATTACCAAAGGTGGTTAACACAAACGTCGTATCTGCACTCCGAAGGACTCCATTCATGTACATATTTTGCACACAAGGATCCCGTTCTTCAAAATAACTTATGAGAATTCCATTCGCGAGAATTTTATTTATAAAAATGTCCTACACTTTCTCAAGGTTTGTTCTACGGATTAAAATATTCTGTCTAGTAAAACGTTTACATATCTTTTTATTAAGAAGCGAACGAAATGAAAGAATGAAAAAATGTAATATGTCTCGTTCGATAAATATAAAGTTAAAATTTAACTTGAGAAAATTAGCTTGAATTAACTTTGCATTTATCGAATAAGACATATTACATTTTTTTTTTTATAAAAATGTAAGCAAAGTGAAAGAGTACAGAATATAATACGTTTTATTTGATAAATATAAAATCAATTATGCCCGAAAACAGACCAAGGGCGCAGCATTTGATCGTTCCACAATTAACCGGCTCCACTATTAATTAATTTCTAAAGATTTTATGGTAAAAGTCTACGTAAGTTTTGCTTCGATTCGTCCCGCAACTCGCCTGTGCCTGCGACAAAGTCGCGAGTTAGGAGCGATTCACGTGTTTCAGCAGGATTCAAGATTTATACTAGCCAAGTGAGTTCTATTGCAAAATCGCTCGTTAATCTCCGATCTTTGGGTCTTTTCTTCCGTCGTAATAAATCCGCCGCTAAAATATCGCCGTGGTTCACACAGACCGTGCACACCCACATTATGGAAGTTGGTCCAGGAGAGAGTTATAGGTGACAATAACGGGGTCCGGTTGCATGCGGGACGGGATCATAAAACGACGGATTAGACTGCTTTCGGCTATTAGTCTAATATATGCGCGTCCGCGAATATCAAAAAGCAAAAATGTTCAAACGGCCCGACCTGCACTTTTAAGAACGTCTCTCCGTTCTGTTAACCGCGAGGAGAACACCTTGCCATAATTCATGTACAGTTAACAATTAAATAGAAAAGAACTGTAAAATTGAAAACGGGGTCTATTAAATATCTATTAAATACAGTATTAAATACAAGCAATTGCACTGTATATTTATTTCTTTGTACTCAAAGTTAATAATATTGTAGATCATATTCACGTTTTGTACTCCAAATTAATCTTATCGTAGATCATGTTCACTTTTTGTACTCCAAATTAATCTTATCGTAGATCATGTTCACCTTTCTGTAGAACAATTAGCTCTTTTACAGAATTATACAAACTAACATCTGCAATTAAATCAGCCTTAATAATTCATTCTATCGCACAATCTCTATAACCTTGACATTCATGACAAGAAATCAGTTCACAAATTGTAGCTTCAAAAAGCATCACAAAGCTGCTATTTTCACGAACCATAAATTTTAACAGCTCATAACAACATCAACTGTTCTCAATGAAATTTTCCGCGTGTACATAAGTTGCCGGGAAGAACCAAATGCATTTTTCCGAATTTTGATTATAGGCTCAGGTAAAACAGTGAAAAAAGAGAGTATTTAAAAAAGAAGATAAACTAGTCTCTCTGACATTTCGAAAAAGACTCAAGTCTCGGTTTGAAAAAAGTTATACCGTTTTAAAAGATGCGTGCTCACTTTTGCCCCTTAGACGCCGTAATTCGAATCAACGTGAAAAAAGAAATTCTATGGAAACTGCCAAAATTTTATCCGGAGAATTACTTGTCTTTCGCCAGGATGCCGTTCCCTCAAGAAATCCTAATTCCTCCCCGAATAACAGACGAACGTTCACGGAATAAAGAAGTCCACATACCGGCTGCAGCTTCAAAAAATTCGACGCATCCCCTCGAGAGGCGTCCGCCGGAAGTTTATTTACCCGGCACGCCCCGCTCGTTCGAAAATCATTTAGCCGACGGCGGATCTAACCATGGATCCGACACGAGTTGCCGTAACAAGGCCGCCGACACAATGACAGAGATGTTCGAAGGCGGCTGGATGCCGGGGTTGCCCGTTTACGCGTCCCATTGGCGTGCCACAGCCCCCCGTAAAAGCGTTCCTGGTTCGGAGATGGGGCGAAATGTTACGGAGGGTGTCGCAGGGGGATGTTACGGGGGTTGGCCCGATCACATACATTACAACGGTGGCCGCGCGCGGAGAACAACGACTTTGCGTGGCACAACAAAGCCGGGCCGGGTCGGGCCGGGTCGGGCCGTGTACAAGCGCAAGGAGGCATGCGTGTCAGAGAGACTGAAAGGGAGCATCGGCTGGTGTGTCCGTGGCATGCCGCGAGAGCATACCTTCCCGGACACCTAGCCTAAGCGCGGTTATGCCGGCGACGACGCGTAACGTTCGCTGTGGGGCGCCTTTTCGCTTGACCAGCTGCCGACCGGATCGTTTACCGAGCCGCTGATTCCCGACACGTTCGCTGTGTAAACTATTGTAAACCGGGAATTAGCGAGGACCGCGCGTATCGGGCCCCCTGGGGACTCGAGGAGACTTTCCGAGACCTGCAGAAACACTGTCAGGGACTTGAGAGTGAATTTTTAATCGGTGAATCGTTGCTTCTGTTAGGTCATAGATTTTATAGTAAAATTTTATGCTCTGATCAACTTGATTTCTTTTGTAAATCTTTTCTGCCATCAAGTCAATCGCCTTACACGACATTACATTTTGCTTCTTTTTCCTCTCTCATAACTTTTATATTTAAGTTTTTCTATTTCATTCTTGACTGCTACCATAGTATTACTCTCTCTCTCTCTCTCTCTCTCTCTCTCTCTCTCTCTCTCTCTCTTTCCCTCTTACTATAATGAAAGGTGTTTATCTCGTTTATAAATAAAGTTATTATAATTATTATTATTATTATAAAATTTCAGAGTAATGTATGCATTTCATGCTTAAGGATCCAATGATTTGAGACTCGATGAAGTGATCGGTCGATTTATGATAAGATGCCTGATAAGATGAAAGTGGACGTAATTTAACCCAATGCATTATTGCAACCAAACTTGTGACGAAGATTTCATTCATAATTTAGTAGATGTAACTGCTATTCGTCTCTTCGAAGTAGAAATCAATTTTGATTCTTTTGTTAACCTTCCTGTTCATGGTATATGTATAAATAGTATATAAACCACAATTTTCTGTTAATGGAATTAAAATTACGTTCTTCTGATAGTATTTTTATCCATGCAGTCCTGTTATCGTCTCATTAGCCTGTGAAGTTTCGAAGACGCTGAGCAGACTTCTCGTAAGCCGGCATCTTAATGGAAGTTTTCTCAAAATGCAGCAATGTTGCTCGCAAAAGGTGTTGAGTATGAAAAAAGGCCTGAATAATGTATAGAATGCAGAATCGTGGGACGGACTGAAAAGACGTGAAAGGATAGGATACGCGAATAGCTGCCGTAGCGAAGTGCGTCGAAACAGATTGATCGGAACAGACGCATCCATCAAACCCGCCTGTGCTCTCGTGACAGGAACATCCGATAGTTTGCTGGCAGAGTTTTCTATGGGATAGGGTGGCACAGTGTTCTGCGTACGAAATCGTGCAGCATAAACGTCGACATGCTCACACAACGTACGAAGATTGACGCTGGAACTACCGAACCGGTTAAAATAACTTGCTCCTGACTTTTTCACTCGCAATTATTAAAATTACAGAATTCAAATTACACATTTGCTTCTGTATTACTTCTATTCGAGTACATGTTACAATAAAAATCGCTGAAAGTTTGAATTTATTCACCATTATTACGCAATCATTTCATTGTTATAAAACAATATAGGTCAGTCGCGTTAGTAGGTACTTGGTAGAATTGGCGTTAAACAATTTAGAACAGCAAAAGAAAGAAGATCAACAGAATTAATTATCTTCTTCTTATTTAGAAAACATCAACAACTGTGGAAATCACGAGTGAAACAGAACTATCAATTTTTTTATTGGAATTCTATGGTAGTCACTGGCCTGAAATATTGGCAATTTAAACAATTTTTCTGCTTAACAAATTTTTATCTAAACACGGAATCTTTAGACGGAAAATGAATTGAACCCAAAAGGAAAAAACGAAGTCCGAATCTAAGATCAGCAAAATCAAAATTATAACTAGACGTCGGATTTTATGCATTTGCAACAAAAACGAAACACAAAGCAATGAAACTAGTAGAACAGTTTAATAATTTAATTATATTATTTATATAACTCAATAAAATTATTCAAGCCTGGAATAGATGTCTGTATAGTTCTTGTTTCCTGTAATCGATGCACAAAATTTTGATTTTGATCCACAGTTGAGACAAAGAACATCATTTTGATTCAGTCATCTATTCAACTATACAACAACAAAAACACCGCGTGCCATTTTCTCCTGTAAATCATTCGCAGAGAATTCTTAAAATACTAATAACATTTCCTTTAACTTCAATCAATGGCGAAGCTTGCATTAATCGTAAAGCTCCAATTAATGGTAAAGCGTCGATTAATGATAGAAATCTTCGATATTCGCAACGTCAGAAATAAGATGTGTAGTTCTAATGTCGTCGATACGTCAACATTCGTCACCGAAGCGTCAAAAAAAAAAAAAAGAAAAACACGCATTCGCCACGCAGGTGATAAAACGTGTTTCAAGGGACAACGAATAATTGAAAGTGGTGTCTCTCGATGATTCACAGTTCACAGGGTCCGGAGTGCTCTCTAGAAGCGACGATGAGGTTTCTCTTTGGTGTTACAGACGGAAGTGGAGGACATGACGAGTGACAGCGTCTGCGAAGGCACCGGTTCGAGCCTCGGTGCCCCTGAGACCACTGGCGGTTTGATAGGACCGGAAATGTCCCCGAGTGTGATGGAGTGTGGCGGCTGCGGGGAACGTGTCCGTGAACGTACCGTTCTCTGCGTCGGCGGTCGAACTTGGCACTCGAGGTGTCTCCGATGCTGCGCCTGTGCCAGGCCACTACACGATCAACACTCCTGCTTTCTGAAGGGAATGCGACTCTACTGCAAGCACGACTACGCGCTGTAAGAGAACACTCCATGATTTTTTAACGTTTCCCCGATTCTTGTTCCGCAATGTTCCGGCAGGATTTTTCTCACGATTTCGCGGACAGAATCTTTTTCACGAATTCGTGAGGCCGTTTCTTCCACGATCATTTTTTACAATTTCCTGGCGCAATTTCTGTCACACATCTTTCACACGATCATTTCCACGATTTTCTGACAGAATCTTGCCCCTGTCTGTTCCGACACAGTATTTTGTCCACAATTTTCTGGCGCAGTCTGTTCTACGAAAACATTTCTTCTAAAATTTATTTGATCAAGACTCAGTACATTATAGAATGTACTCGTTATAACAATTTTATAAACATATTATAGAATGTACTCTTGATGTACCAATTTTATAAGAAGCACATGTTTGAAACATATTATTAAACGTATGAACGAATGAATTCATAGTAATTGTCATAATAATTTTATAAGATGTACATGTCCAAAGATACTATAAAACATACTCGTTAAGGAATTCTTATAAAAAGCGCACGTTAGAACACTATCCCAAAAATCATTAGATCCGAAAATACCACGTTAAATTGAATAAATCACGGTCTCGCTCAATGCGTCAGCGTGTCTTAAAAATGTTCTCTTACTTACTCTTCAACCGCGACACTATCTCAGCCAAGAATATATCACCGTGCTGCCAGCACGTTAAAACAAAGTTTGACAGCTTGCGAGCAAGCATGTTACAAAACCCGGACCAGAAAAATCGCTAAATCCGAAAGTGCTTCGTTTTCAATCAATATGCGCAGCGCGCCGATAGACACGCATAACCGATCGCGAGCCCCATTGAATATGTTAATAAACCGGCGAATAGTAGAAAAAAAGAGGCGCGACGACCGAGAACGGCCGGTTCATAGACACGTTAACGTTAATTTACGAGCGGCTGTCGAAAAATTCTGGACAGGTTGTCACACCGCCGCGATCCGTCGTCTCGGTCTTATTAATCAGGCGACGGAGTTTTACGGTATAATCCCGGGTGGACCGTTCGCTATCATATTTATTGCGCCGATAATGTTAAACGCGGCGGCCCTAGTTTTCCGATGCTTTATTACGCGATCGATCGATCCGGCAGCGTTAATAAATATGAAGTCGCCTCTGTTCGCTTTCTCGTCGCGCTTTATCTCGATAATTGAATCTGTTCCGATCCGGTAGACCTCGGCAAGAAAGCGTAGATCTTTGACGACACGGTGGCAATTACACGCGACTCCGCTCGGAATTTATGCTACTCATTTCTTGCCGCCGCGTTGCTGCAATTGCTGCACGCTTTCCTCGCTGCCGAGTGCGTTAATTATGACGGCGGATGTTCTTCCTGTTTCAATCGCCGGGCAAAACGATTTCTCTGCAATTTGTAATGTTTGTACTTTAGTGATAAATCGGTCGTAATGCCGCGTTCTCAGAGGGCACATGGAAAAATTGCTATTAGGGTCGATCATGTTGAAGATACGTAGTCGTTTTATGTATTCGTCATTCACGAATACGTCGTCATTCACGTCATTGTCTTAATTATGCGGAATTTTATGCGTTTACGGTGTTCACGCAGTTTTCGTTTGCTCTTCTCACCCTGCTTTTCATCGAACGATCTATGAATATTGATGTTTGGGTCGATGCAATAGATCGTAATCGATCAATTTCAGATTGAAGCATTAAAATATTACAGCCGAAATTGTGCTAACGAACCCAGCTAGATATCTGTTCAGTTTAGATTGTAATTCAACTATAGCTTATTTGAATAAAAATATCAGTAGAAAAATGAATTTTATAAACATCATTTAGAAATGTGTATAAAATCGTAATGAATGAGCTTTAGTAGAAAGGATTCATTCTGGAGAAACATTAGACGTGACCAAGAATTTTATGAATAAGCCTGTATTGTTTGGAAATTATCCGAATGGAAGAAAGATTTTTCAGAGAGATACATTTTAAGCTGTGTCAAATAACTTAACTTTATTATTATATTTAACTTTATTAGTCGAACATCACCAATTAGCAACATTAAATTTGGGAAAAATGCTCGTAATTTGTTCGTGCCTATTTTGCGTATTTTTCGTGCATAAATATCGTACGCATTTTATATATTTATCGCGCACGAACTTCAGCAGTGTAGTTATCGTGTTCCAAAGCAGGCAAAAGTCTCGCGAAATTCGTCTGCATCGAGTTTGGCGGATCGTGGCGCGATAAACGCAGAGGATCCGCAACTAAGCGGGCCGCTTATTAGGACCACTGATATCTGACGAATCGCGGGCGGTGGAATGTTATTAATTAAATCACATTGTAGCGAGCGATCGACTGACGCGAGGATGTCCGAGCGATGTCCCCGTTTCCTCTCGAGCAGCAAAGGAACCACAGAGTACGGTCCCCGCGATCATTTATCACGGAAGGCAGGGGAGCTGCGGATCGAAAAGGTGGCTTCGGTTTCTTTCGGAGTCGGTTGTCGACGAGTCTACGGGTCGTGGATCCTGTCGACCGGGTCATCGTAAGCCAGCATTACGAGGCGAAAAGCATGAGTCAAAAAAATTACGCGGCGGATTCCTGTAGACCTCCCGCATACACGACTTTGACTCCTCAAAGACAGACACGGGGCCCCAAGAAATCCGGCAAGTGTCTTCAGAGGGGACGCCGACTCCGTTGCGAAATATTCCTGATTGCGATTCCACGGCCGGGCCTTGTCGGATACGTCGCCGATCATTATTTCCATTGTCCTGGAAAATCTTGGCCGTTTATACTCTCGGGCCGGCACAATTAATTTTTATCAGAGAAAATAATTCGAAATTAATTCGGCGAGGCTTCGTGAAACGTTGTTTGACGTGGAGTCGTTTGATGTGATTGAAAGTGTAGGGAAGTGGTTGTAGGAAAAGAAACCTTTTTATTAAAATTCTGCTAATTTTTCAGTAATCTGCCAGTTCGTTCTTTTGACATTGTTCTCTAGTAAGACACTTCTTTGTTGTAAAAATTCTGCAGCCTTTGAGTCAGTTTCCAGTTTGGTCTTTTGGCATTGTTCTCTAATGAGACACTTTTTTGTTGTAAGAAAGACTCTGAAAAGTCTTTTATAAATTCTGCTGATTTTCAGTTCGTTCTTTCGATATTTTTCTCTAGTAAGACACTTTTTGCCCGTCGATCAATGTAATTAGAATAGTTCGGATTCTATCCTATCATACGTATTTGCACATACTTGAAAATTAATAATTTGAATTCTACTAAGTTGCCCAAAAAATTGTCTTCTTCATCTTTTTTTCAGTATGACGAACGCATTAGATATAAGAAAGCATACTATTAAATCACAAATGCAGCGAAATTCAATAAGACGAAACATTGATATGACAGTCTAATATCATCGATGAATGCATTAATAGAGCATGGTTGAAAGCTTAGGCTGACAGTAAATTTTGGTCTCACTGTACATTTTTGTACGCTATTCTTCTGCTCACTTCATGTACACACATTTCGTGCACACTTTTTGTATAAACTTTTCGGCACACTTTTTCTGCATATTTTCTATGAATATATTTTGAACGACGATATGGGGTAAACGGGGGGCCCGATCGTGGCCCCATCCGAGGAACACTGATTTCCGCGTTCGATAATGTAGACAGCGATCGCGTTTCACGATCGGATATCACGATACGAGATTTAGACAGGCCGGTGCAACAGCCAGGTGACCGGTCCACGTTTGATTGACAGTTGGATAAACACGTCGGAAAGACTTCGATCTTCGACTGCGTGTGCACAATCGTCGAGTCACTTCGTGGCTTCTTTAGCTTCGATCGTCTGCACGCTTTCGTGGCCTTCTCCTCTACGAAAATATTCGATTTCGACGCCATTTGTAACAATACCACCTTTCGAAACACTCCACCCGATTATCCAATCCAATTAGTCGAATTCAATGATTTCTACTTCGATCCCTTCGATTTGTGAACAGCGCGAATAATCGAGCAACTCATTGAGAGTGAAATTCGATTTAAAGGTTTATCGACTTATTGAGAAAGTAAAATGATTTGAGGTTACCTATAAAATCTGACAAGAAGATTATTTTTATGAAAATATTGCGATGTTGTACGATTTAAGAATTTTCTTTGTTCTTTACTTTAAGAGAACTACAAACAAAACAAACATTAGTTTACAGTGCTCAATTATATCTGAACAGGTTTAAACAAATATTTTAATTTCGCATCATTCGGTTCTCCTGTAATAAATTTCGAAAGACGTCCTAATTTTTGTGTAAAATTTGACTAATTGTAGGAAAAGCCACCCTTAACCGTCCGCGAATCATTTGGGATCGAATTAACCCCAGCGATTTTAAAATCGCAGTATTTGTCACAAAGTACACGCGAGCAGCCGGCGTGTTTTTATTATTAACAATAAATTGTTCATTTTTTAAATATCAGTGTTTGCTTTATTGAAATCTGTCTTTATTACAAGAATGATGAGACAACATTTTAACGTGTATTTTTATTGAAATTATATACTTGTAAATGAATATTCAGGGTACAAGATTACAATAAATTAAGAAGATTAAAATAAAATTACACACACACACACACACACACACACACACACACACACACGGAAAAGTGGCTAAAATATCGATTACTATCTAACGCAACTGCTTGATAATTATTAGTTAAAATAAGGATTATTTTAAAATAAAAGATTTAAATGCAGAATATAATTTTCTCGATTATTTCCCAAGGTTTTTCCGTTCTCCATCGTCGGCCATTTTCATCTATTTCTCCGAACGTTTTGCACCCGTCTCGCAGCTGCCACGGTCTCTATTTCTCTCTTTTTCTCTCCTCCCCGCTGCTTTTCTTCCACTTCTCTCTTATCGCGGTCCGTTTCTCCTCTTTGCATCCGCGAGTCTCGTTCTTTTTTTTTTCACCGGGCGCATCCCTCTCTCGGAGCGACGCACTCCGCGGGTTTACATACACGCAAACATACTCTTCGGAGTTGGAGCTCGCGCTTCGGGGTCC